AGGATAGAAGGATGGAAGGAGGGAGGAGGATAGAATAGGAGGGAGGATGGAAGGATAGAAGGATGGAAGGAGGGAGGAAGATAGAATAGGAGGGAGGATGGAAGGATGGAAGGAGGGAAGGGGATAGAATAGGAGGGAGGATGGAAGGATAGAAGGATGGAAGGAGGGAGGAAGATAGAATAGGAGGGAGGATGGAAGGATGGAAGGAGGGAGGGGGATAGAATAGGAGGGAGGATGGAAGGATAGAAGGATGGAAGGAGGCAGGAGGATAGAATAGGAGGGAGGATGGAAGGATAGAAGGATGGAAGGAGGGAGGAAGATAGAATAGGACGGAGGATGGAAGGAGGCAGGAGGGTAGGATAGAAGGAGGGAGGATGGAAGGAGGGAGGAGGGTTGATAGAAGGAGGTAGGAAAGAAGGAGGGAGGGTGGAAGGACTGAGGAAGGATGGAAAGATAGAAAGAGGGAGGATGGAAGTATAGAAGAAAGGAGGGAGGAAGAGAGGGTGGATGTAAGGATGGAAGGGCGGAGGATAGAAGGAGGGAGGGTGGAAGCATGGAGTGAGGAAGGATGTAAAGATAATCACAGTGCAGGGACTCCAGCAACACTTAAACAGGAACAACTTTATTGACTGACCAACGGTTTTGTTTACATTCTCGGAGGACTTGAAGCTCTCCTGCGGTGCATTCAGGGACTCTGAGCTCAGTGTGTTCTTTCTGAACCATTTTCCTTAAAGCTGGTTTCCATTGTGAAATACGTAAATATCCAGTAAACATCTATTATGTGGTATAAGTACAGACTTTTAAGTGTCTGCGATGCAGGTGAGGCGACATTGACCGACGCTCTGACGGCTGCTGGAAAAACCTACGAGGAGATTGCTGAGATCGTTGCCCAGCAGGTAAAAACACACACACCTATGTATAAATACACAGTATACTGTGTTTTCTCAGTCTTACAGTAATATTTGTTTATTCTCTTACTGCATTCTTTGTTGTGTTAATGTTTCCAGCCTCAGAAGGACCTCCACTTCCTGTTGGAGACTAACAGCGAGTACAAAGGGCTGCTGGGATGTTTTCCAGACATCATCGCTGTACACAAGGTACAGCAGAACTACACAGTGACTATACTACACAGTACTGCTACACATAACTGCAGGTACACACAGAGAATGTCTGAAAACATGAGACAATAAAACAGACTGAAGCTGGAAACTGAGGCTTTTATTTTGGAGGTTTTTATTCAATTGCTGTCAGAGCAACATTAATTGGGGAATGGGAGGGGCTCCAGGTGTGCTGAGGAGGGCGTGGTCTCACCTGTGTGTGTGTGTGTGTTTCAGGCTGCTGTAGATAAAGTGAAGGAAGGCGATCGTTTGGTTTCTGCAGGAAAAATTAACAACAGCGACAGGAAGTGCATGAACCAGCGGCTCAGCTGCATGAGCTACGCCCTGCAGGGTAACAGCACACACACACACACACACACACACACACACACACA